TTTTTTTATTCACAATTATAGCTGGGTTTCAATTTTTTTATGTGGCAAAATGCATATTTACATACTTTAAAACTCTAAATTCTTATTTTCACTTTTCTCTCGCTAATTTCTTACGTCATTATGTAAGTTATCACACATTTATATGTATTTATATGTAGTATTTAAGACAAACTGCAATCACTACTGTTATTTTAGAATTAAATTTCTTAAGTCTCTTTAGTTCAACAGAGACAGAGAGAGAGAGAGAGCGATTACAATAGCTGTGTTTGTGTGTATACACATTTTCTAAATAAGTACTCGTTTGAACGAATAAATCGGATAAATATTTTTTTTTTAATACAATACACCAAATATTAAAAAAAAAATTAACTTTTGAGTTGATTCCGTTTTGGCGTTTTTAATTTCCTTGAAGAGTGTTATTGCATTTTTTTTAATAAATGTTATCTTCATTTTTTAATATATTTGATAACTAAAAAAGTATTTTTTTTATTAGAAAGTACATATATCAAAAACAAATTTAAACCTATTTTTATAAATATTTTTTTCTTTTGTTTTCATAAACCTGTTTAAATTTTCCGACAAAAAATCTTGATAGCATTCAATAACACATTTTTTATTTATTTTTTGTTAAGAGTTAGAATAATAATTTGGTACACATTTTTATGGAAATAAATAGTGATTAGCCTAATTTGTGGGAAGATGATCTATTTTGGAACGCATTGCCGTCAACCTTTGGCAAGTTTGCTATGGAGACAAACCGGTTTCGGCGTTGTGCCATCTTCAGTGTGGTTTTTCGTTCTCGAAAACGAATAAATAAAAATGTACTTCGAAGCTACACAATACAACCTCCCTAAGCAGAACCTCCAGTAATTTGAAGTGAAGTGAAATTGAAAGCTTTCATTCGTATATTTCCATTAAAGCCGAAACGAGGAAATATATGTATGTATGTAGCAGCGAAAATACCATCCGCCACCAGGCTTATTACTTAAATAAGTTGGTAAAATTTTTGAAAAAACTTCATGAAAAATAGCGACTTTTGGCATTTTCAAAGCTCTTTATGGCATTTCCTTGGCTCTAACGGATATCTAAATATTTTCAAATAGTGGCTGTGGAAAAGAAGAAATGAAAGCATACAATTTCTTTTAAATCATAAAACGCAAAAATATGTAGATAAGTGAAAATTGGTACCCGACTAATAATTCACTCCTCCATTTTTATTTTGATTAAAGGAGAAAAAATAATAATTTTTAAATTCAAGGTCACGGCTTATATACCCAACATTAGCTTTTTCAGAAATGGAATTTTATTTTTCTAGAACTCAAATCGAAGTGAACAATGGAGAAAAAATAACCGACTCAATGCGCACAGCTTTCTTCAAACTGAGAGGTCTGATTTATTTTCGCTCTATATTACCCACGAAAATAAAAAATAAATTTATTGTTTTAGTTATTTTATTTTTGTATTGCTAACTTCTACTTGCACATTGACAAATGTTAAGTTAATAAATTACATACACATCTATTATTGAAACGTCAGGAATAAGGGGCAAAACAATTATTGCAACTACAGCTTCAAACGACAAATACCCCTACCACATATAGAACATGCTACATAAATATTTTTAACGTTAATAATTATTGTTTTGCGGTTTTTTATTATTATTTTTTTTTTGTTGAAGGCGGCGGGGATATGTCACAAAAATTATTTCATCTTCCTAACTGCGTAGTTTTTCATTACTTAATTCTTTATTATTTTTTCATAATACAAATATAAATATGTATGTTTATGCATTATAAGTCTCATTTCATGCATTTCTTTTGCACTTACATATGTACATATGTACATATACTATGGGTTCATACTCGTACATACATATGTATGTATGTTTATGTATGTACATATATGTATACATAAAATAGTTGGTCTGGCTGAGTGTATGCACGGATGCTAATACATGTATTGCAAATTCGAAATCAATTTAAATACATAACTATGTGTACATACTATACATTTAATCGATAAACATAATTTATTATATGAAACGAATTGTATATAACTATTATTTCAAAAAAATTTTAATACGTTATAATAAAGAACACTTTATTTGGTATGCAATTGCGCACACATACTTATATATTATGTAGTTTTTATTAATAATTTATTATTTTTTTTTTAGTTATGTAATTAGGTAATAATTTCAAACAACATGTGGAAGTAAGCGGCAAACATTAAATAATAAAATAAAAACGTAGAGACTAAATATTGCATTATAAATATAGGTATGTATATTGATATATGTATGTATGTATGTATGTTTGGCTCTTAATCTTGTACGCATTATTTTTTAAACAATTATCAATTAATTTTTGTTTTTGTTTTGTTTATACACAAAGATCACTTTCATTTTTATTCGTCGACGTCAAGTATCGTAAATGCAATACGCTCATATCGTATCACAGAAATGCTTACAAATAGGCACGCACACGCAAGCAAACACATGCTATCATTTACACAAACAAATGCAACAATAATAAATTATAAAAAATTACTATCAAGAGTAATAAAGAGAACAAGTAATTTTTACCGCCAAATTCTTCATGATCAAATGATCGGATCTAAACCAAATTAACATGGGACCATGTGAAAAATATTGAAATCGATTAACGTGGTCCAAAGTTATGCCGTAAAAAAAAAATAAAAAAAAAATATTCCGACGAAATCGTTTAAAAATAAGAAGAAATGCTAATTCTCAGTGAACAAAGTAGAAACAAGCCGTTGGGCCAAATCGTGAAAAAACGTAAAAAAAAAACAAAAAATGTTTGAACTAAATAGCAATCACTAATTAAAGTTTGCTTTGATAAAGTTTTAAGTAAAAAGTATATCTGTGTACACTAGGTTGACTCACTAGAAAAAAAATGGTACTGTTTTTCCATCGGAATAATCAAATCTATTATATTTTGAGACTACCGCCAAAATATTTCTGAAAAATATTAAAATTTGCTTGAGCTGGACTGTTTTTAAAATACCTCCAAAAATAAAATGAGTTTTAATTTCTTTTTCCAAAATATCACCTTAGATGATAGAAAAGTTTAAGCCTAAACGCCTGATTATGGCAACTTAACTTAACTTTTCGGAACTTAGAAAAATCAAAATGAAACAGATTTCGACGTGGCATTAAGCTTCGGCTGTTCAATTATAAGCAACATCCATTTAAACGAATTTTTAAGTAAGAGCTTGTAAGTAACGTTAAGTTGTCATAATCAGACCATAAAAGATCTGCATAAAAATATTTAAAAACTGTATCAAAGAAATCGCAATGATGCAATTTTTGGAGGTCTTTTCAAATCGGTGACACTCATGTACATCTTAATATTTTTCAAAAATAGTAAATAAGGTGGACAAATTTTATTTTTTTTTTTTTACTTGTCTATGTTTTGCTGCCTTTTGAAGGAAAAACTTTATACAAACTAAAATGAAATTAAGATCTTGCAATATTTTTTAATAAACTATATAATAATTAATACGATTTTTTGCAAAAATTTTATAAAAAAATAAATGGAAATACATAAATACTCGAAAAATATCCCTTCTACTACTTTAAAAAATAAAAATGATTCGTTTTTTAAGACAAAATGTAAAAACAAAAGTTTTAAATATTTTGTACAAACTTTTTAGTTTTTTTTTTTTTTTAATAGATAAGCGCTTTAATAATTTTAAGAAACACAATATTTTGGCAATTGAAAACATAGCATATAGTAAAAATTAAAAAAAAATTACTAGTTAAAAGGCACAGGATACTAAAGAAAATAATTTCCACAAAATAATTGACACATTTTCGAAAATGTAGTAAAAATTAAAAAAAAAATAAATAAAAATTTCATTGAATATAAAAAGTAGAATTTTCAACAAGATTTTTTTTTTAGTTACAAATTATTTAATATTTAATGTGAAATCAACGTAAAGTTTAAAAAAAATGTAATTTCCGCATGTCGCGAAAGGCACAAATAAAAAAATTTAATTTTTTCTAAAAATAACCTTTTAAAAAATAAAAAGGCACGAAAACCTCGAAAGTTTATGGAACTGTCACAATTCTTATGAAAATATTTTCGAGTACCAAGTTTAGTGTAAATCCTACCATAAATGTTAAATAATGTGTTAAGTAATTATCTTTTTGGTTTTATCCATGACAGCCACAATTTTCTACTATTCAAATTAACACGAATTTATGCAAATAAAATTTTTTATTAAAAATTCATGACTATTTAAAAAGTTTAAAAAATTGTTAAAAAAAAAAATCCTGTGCAATAACGACACAATTCAAAATTCAAAAAATTAAAACTGTTAGTACTGTTAAGTGGCTCTTGTCTCTAATCCATTTCCATCCCCTACTAAAGTAAGCAGTAAGCTTTGCTAAAGTAAGTACAAAAGATTAGACATGGATTCGACAAGGATTAGAGATATGCGCCAGTAGTAACAGTTTTATTTTTTTAATTTTGTATTGTGTCGTTATTGCACAGGACCATCGATCGATATATGTATGTATGTATGTACATATACATTTAAAGGCTCGAACTAAAAAGAGAAAAGGTGTGTACAAGCAAAACGAATTATGTATGTACATATGGGAGGAGGAGAATAACTGAAAAAAGTTAAATAAAAATTAAATTTATTCTTACTAAAAATATTTTATGGAGGAGAAATCTGTCACGTCCGTTATCACATTTTAATTCAAAATAAGACCGAAAACGATTTTTTACGAGTTTTTTAATTAAAAAAAAAAAATTGCCGGATTTAGCCAGAGGCTGTAGGCAGCCCTATGAGAGTAACTCAGAGTCATAAAAATTGAATGCGACACAATTTTCTTTAATTTGAATTGTTATCTAGAGTTTGCGGTATTGGTCTACAAAAAAAAAAGAAACTAGTTTTAAGGCAATAAAAAATAAGAATAAATAAATACTACAGCTCACATTCGCACTGCTACTAACACACACTTAATATTTATAAACTTACATTCATACTAAATGAATCGATATTAGCGATTGCACATACGTATGTACATATGTATGTATTCACATTTCCGACGAAAATTCGTAAAAATTGCGTTAAAATTAACGAATAAAATCCAATACGAATGGAAGAGAAACAAGCTGGTCTTGGCAGCAGTAACAACCGCTGGCCCTATGCATTAGCTATGCTGAGCTTGAGCTAAGTGTGGATTTGAACAACGTATGTTCAAAACTTAAATCACCTCTAGTAAGACTGACTGACAAGGGTGTTTGGTTTAATCTACAAAATACATAATTTCTTTATCTTGCAGAAAATACTTAAAAAAAAAAACGTTACAAGGCAATCCAAGCGATTATCCTTTCCAATCTCTTTAAAGTTAAAAAATAAAAGAGGGGAATACACAAATCCGTGATACACTTAAAACCCATAAATAAAACCTCCTATAGTTCAACTCTATAGGCATACCCATAAGTTACATATGTAAACCTTGCTGCACTAAAAAAAAAAAAAACACCTGTACGGCAGAGCAAAAGAAAAATCCTAAAGGCCACTCGCAAGTGAAACTCCATTGGCTACTTGCACACTCACAGCGATTTCCTTTTCAATAATTTTATACTTAATTTCTTTTCATTTTCTTTAAATTTGCATATTTCATTTCAATTTATATTATTTTTCAATTATTAAAAAATAAATAATATATATCGTATATTGTATGTTTAAGATATTCTAATAAAAAATTGTATTTAAGTAATATTTATAAAATAAAATTACACAATGTGTTTTTGTATCGAATTGTACATAAGGTATTTTTAGTTCGATGAGATTGAATGCATGTAGGTATATGTATGTATGTAAATGTATATATTTATGAGTGCACAAGTGCACAAGCGTGTGACATATGTATGCTCAAAATAAAAAAATGCCAAAAGGGTATGCACACTTAGCGATTTGTGTTGAAGGGTATATCGATGTGTGGAAATTATTAGGGATGGCTGTATAGCTTGGCGCAGTAGCGCTACATTAAATCGATAAAATAGAAAATACGCGTTCAAGTGGAGAAGATATTTTGTAATGAGAAAATACGTTAAAGTTGTTCTCGTTGCGAAGGCGACTGGAAAGCGTGTGGTTACTAGAATGACAGTCTTTTTTTTTTGCTGATTGCTTTTCAGTTTTATTTTGTTTCTCTGCTTTGGTTGCTGTCTGCACTCCATCATCAACTTCTGATCAACTGTTCCTCTCCTATATCACCTACACCTCCTCCTCCTCCTCCTCCTCCTCCTCCTCCTTCTGCTCCCGCTTCTCCATCACTTAATTATAACTGCAGTGCCAATGTTGCAAACGTAAACGCAATTGTTTCCAAAATAGTAAAAAATAATGATGCGTTTGTGTGCGCACTGCCCGCACCAACTACTAAATCTTACTGCTGGCGCTACCGTTACTGTTGTTGGTTGTTGTTGTTGCTGCCGTTGCAGCTGCTGCTGTTGTACTTATACAATTTGTTGCAGCAGCGGCGATCACATTTGTACTGCTTCCACTACTACCACCACCACCACTGCCGCCACTACTGTTACTTTGGTCTTGACGTGCGCTATATTTGGGATTTGTCGGCATAACGGTGTCGGTGACGAGATCATTAGGCGCCTCTAGTACGCCCTTGGCATGTGCCGCAGCCGTATCTAAATCGGTGCGACGTGAGATCAACAAGCGTATATCGGTGTGCAGCGATAGGCGACCAGAGCGTGACGTTTGGAATCTGTATGGGTATAATGGAGTAGTTGGAGAGGGAGAAGAATTGTTTAAGAATGGTAAATAAGGGAGTGCCTTTAGAAACTAAGCAGGCATTTAAATGTTTTCGGCTTTCTTCTATTTGAACGGCAATATATTAACGAATTTTTAACTGATTGACTTACCTTAAATGTATGGAATATCGTAAGCGTTTCATATGCTCAGCGGATATGAAGTGTCCGAGATTGCTTACGCCATGCAGGCCGCCACTAGGTGATAAACGATATTTGTTTTTGGCATTCACTGTGTTATTGCCATTTTGATAGCAGTCGTTGTTGTTATTGTTTAAGTTCAAAGTATCATCACCACCGCCGCATGCAACAGCGCTACTTTCAAAGCCATTTGTGTAGACCATGCCGTTGCTATCGTTTTGTTGTTCCACAATATTAACGGACTGTTGAGATGGCTGTACATTCTGCGTCGTCGCTTCGTGGGTGCTGGCCTCGGCCAGTATCCGTTGTCTTATGAAGGTTTGATGTAGTGGTGGCATGTCGCGCATATCGTACGGTATAACGAACATACGCACTACAGTGCCCATAGGATTCAGCAGAGTTGCCTGTACAGTGCCGGAGCGTGGCACCGAGTAGCCTTTGCGTGGAAGGCGTATATCACACTATAAAAGAGGGAAAGGCATATAAGTAAACATGTGAAAAATGCGTGATAATTTGTAAAAATTTCAAGTTTATTTTAGACCAAACAGCTTCAAGATTACGATTTAAATTATCTATGCAAAAGATTCACGATAATGAATTTAAAAATTATTCAGTAAGTTTTTTGATCAATTCCTTTATATTTGTCGCGCTGTGGCTGCGTGAAACTTTAGGTAACTTTATTGGAATTTAAAGGGACTAGCATTCTAGCCTAGTCCTGGTAAGCTCTAATTGAACCGGAGACTCACGAGAAGGGTCATAATTTGAACAGCTTGGCCGCAGTTGCCGTTCGGTCACCTGAGCACCTAAGGCCTATAGTTGTACTATTTATTGTTTGTCCTTCATTAATTCTAGTTCGTTTTAATAAATTTCTATACATTTAAAAATTAAAGAATAAATCTTTATACAGTTTTCCATCCCACCATTCAGCATTTGTCGCATTGATTAGCACACAACGCCTAGCAATCAATCGCTACTCACCACATACGGCGTACTCAGCGCCTCGCCATGCAGTTCGTAGAAATATGCCGCAGCCGGTATGGTTAGCTGAGTGGGGCAAAAGCCGCCGGACGCGCCCAATAGTACCTTGAAGCCCATCACTTCTACTTTGGGCATCAAACGTTTCTGCAGCAGCGATTCTTCTAGATTGCCAAGCAACCGCTGGCGTCCAAAGGCCGCAGCTACGCGGGCGCATTGCTTCAACGGCGATGTAGCTGGACTATACATGCCACCACTTTCCAAATCTTCATCGGAAAATTGCTCATCCGAACCTAGTGATGAACGATCGGAACGATCGGATAAATGACGTGAGCGACGCTTATAGCTAGCCGCCTGTTTGGCAAAACGTGGCGATAGTGATGGCGAATTGGGTAGCGTGGGTGCCGAAAATGACTTTTGTACAGGTATATTATTAGCGTCGGTGGTGAGCAGAGAGGCCGAATCATTACCGTTGCTGGAATGCATAAGTTGGTGGTGGAGTTGCATTTGATTGCCGCCGCTACGATTGAGTGCCGTCGGCTCGAAGCAAAAAGTGTTATCGTGTGCAGCACCATGTATGGGAATTGGTGATGACTGGCAGCTCGTTATGGTGGCACCCATTGTAGTGGGCATTGGATTGCAGAATATGGGTGTGAGGTTCACCTTGGGCAGGCCCTTGCGCAGCAGCAGTGCGTTATGGCCGCCAGGTTGAGACTGCTGGTGTGACTTAGTGGCTGGCGTAGTAGAGTAAGAAAGTGTTGTGCACAGCATCTCGTTGTTGACACGCGATACACAAAATCCATCGCCGGAAGCGCCAACTGCTTGCATGCTGCGGTCACGTGCATCGCCATGAAGATAATTGCTGTGTAGTTGCAGTAAATTGGGTTTGGGTGTTTGTTTGTGCTGGAATGCCTTTTGTGCGTCTGGTTGCCGCTGCAGTGATTGCTGTTGCTGCTGCTGGCGTGCGGTTTCGTACTTAATTCCGCTCGATGCGGAGGTGGGTGTCTTAAACTGTGATTCATTGAAGCATCCACCCTCCATTAGTGCAGTAATGATGGGCGGGCTACGGTTTTCACTGCGATTGCAGCCGCTGACTGTCTGATCCCCTCCGGCACGGTCACCCGAGGTTGAAAGCGAACAGCGATCAATATGCGGGGTCAGCTTGGTGGATGATAAAAAGGACTCCTGTAAATGTAAAGGAAAGTTCATCAAAACACTTGTTGAGTATACATTTTTTTTATCAGTACTCACCTCTTCCATTACTTCGGATTGATGCGGCGGTAAGACACACAGCGGCGTCGCTGGCAATTCCTCCACAGCCACAACAAACAACTGATTCGCATCCACTGGTTCGGCGCCATCCACATCAAATGCAATATCCTCATGTTTCTTCCCACCATCGTCATCGGTGTCATCGCCAATGTCATCATCAGCGTCAGAGCCCTCTTCTTGCAATTGTTCACCAGCTACGACAGACACTTTTGCAACATTGCTGTTGCCGAAATTGTGTTGTGTTTTTTGTCGCTTGCACACTTGACAACCGGAGCCAGTATTTTCATTTGAGCTGCTAATGCTACCAGCTCTCCCAACACCAGCATCCGCATTGCCATTTGCTAATGCTGCACCGCTCAAATGATTATTATTTTGCGCTTTGCTTCCACACGGCTTGCGTGGCTGCTCCTTCTTGTGCTTCGCTGCTGCTGCTTTGGGTGTGCGCTGTATGGCTTGGAGCAACAGTTCGGCCTTGTTGCGTGGTGTTTGTATAATTTCGCTGCTGCTGATGCTCGACGCCGTCGAATCGTCCATATCGTCGATGTCCGGTTCGGTGGGTTCATCTATGGCTTGCTCTCGGCGCTTGCTACCAGCAGCGGTGCAACGCAGACACACAAGTGTCTTCTCCCAGCCACATTGTCGACAACAACTCATGGGTGTCTGTGTGCCCGTTGAGATCATTTCGATGTGCGTACTGGTGCGCGCGTGCAACGTAGTCACTGTGGCGCTGCAACATACTGACGCATCTTCGTCACCTTCCTCCATCGGTTGGCAGCCATTGGTCGCCTTAGACTGTTCTTGCTGTCTGCGCTGTAGCTCCAGTGTGGCCCCCAGTTCGCCCGTGGAATCTGACGACGTCGAAAGCGGCTTGCGTGGGTGGTGTTGGTGCTGATGCATCTTGTCACGTTTCAACATACGCTTGCGGTACTTCATTAGCTGTTTCTCGCGGTGAGATATATTGCCGCTGGAGCTAAAGGAACTTACGCCAGTTATGCTTTCCCCAATGCTATTGGTTGTGTCACTCATGTTATTGTACTCATCGCCAAATGCCTCAGCATCAGCCTCATCTACTAGCAACTCGTCTTCGTCAATGAAAAACATGCATTTTTGCTTTGGAGAAGAGCTTGTGTGACTACCGCTACTTTCGGTCTTTTCTTTGTCGCTACTCGCAGTGACTCCGTCGCCACTTTTGCCATTTGAGACAGCTTGCTGAGAGGAATTTGCAGTGACTGAGCTGCTTAGTGAAGATATCGCAGAAGTGGTGTCGACAGAGCTTGCGGGCGGATCGTTACCAGCAGGGGGATTATTTATGAACACACGTGTTTGAGCAGCGCCACTCGTCGCCGGCATTAAAGCTAAAGTAGAAGCGGTGACATCACCAAGCGCTGTAGTCGCCACCGGACAACGCCCTGAACGACTGCTGCGTGGCGTATCCTCCGACTTAAAGCAGCTGTTGCCGTTGCGAAATGCCGCCGGACCCCTACTATTGTCGCTGCCATTGGACGCTGCCAGAGTTTGCGGGGTTCCTGGTGTGGTTGTCAACGAGAGCGAAGTGCTGGCTGCTGTTGATGGTGGTGTAGCAGCAATTGTTGTTTTGATTTTGCTTGACGATGCCTTCGACGTCACTGCCGACATTATTGTGGTCGTTGTTGCTGCTGTTATTGTTGACGTGGTCCCAGGAGTGCACAACATAAGTGTACCGATCTTCGGTATGCCGCCGTTGATGCGTGGAAGACTTTTGAGACAAACCGAAATGCTACAATTCTCCGAAATGTTGACATTCGGAAAATTGTGTACATTTGGTTTTGAATTAAAGCAGGCAGTGGAGTCAAATGACTTGATGCGGTAGAATATATTAAGGCGTGGTCGTCGATTCGCTTGCAGCACACAATTCAGCTGATTAAGCGTATGCGTGTTCGGTGATGTACCCGGTGTGATATTGATGTTGTTGCTACTGCCTGCGCCGCCGGCACTGCCAAGTGGTGTGGCCAGATCACCGGCGGCGCCTGTGGGTGTGGCAAAAATTATACGACCCGTATCGTATATGGTCTTATCCGATTTCTTAATCAGATCACACCAGGCACTGATTTGGGAAAAATACAATTGGCTGCGTATTGCGCTGCAGAGTGACGGTAACGTCATGGTGGGCGGAGGAACTCTAAAGAAGGCAGGAAAGAAAATTAAATGAAATTTAATAACTTTTTAATATATGTATTTATTTACACGATGACGTGCACCTTGCCCGTGGCTTGCGACTTACTTTTCTCTTTGAGTTATGATCCATTGTTCGAGCAGAATCTTGTGGTTTACCGGTCCCAAATAAACTTCTATACAAATCGGTTCACCACGTCCCATTATCGCCTCCATTTTATGGCAGTACGCTCGCCACCGGGAGCACTGTAGTGTGTGAAAATTTATTACTTTTTAAGCAAGGAACTTACCCAACGAAAGCCGAACTTACAGTTATATTTACGTATGACATATCACAGAAATGGTCCTCAGCTTCAGCGGCCTCCCCCTTCGCAAGGCCCATCTTCTTGAGGAACTGATCACAGTGCGGCCCTTGTTGCGGGTACTTGGACGCTGTTGTTGATGCCGACATCGCTGTCGCCGTGCTAGCCGCTATTTTCGTTGTGTTATTTATTGTTGATGCAGCAGCGATTGCCGTCGTTGCTGTTGTTGCATTCACAGCAGTGCCTGGTATGGGTATGCGTCCTGTACCCATAGCCGAATGTCGCATATATCTTTCCTTTGGATGCAGGCTGCTGCTGTTGTTGTCAACTGCTGGTGAAGACCAATGTGGCCGTGGCGACTGGACACCACTGCCACAGCTGCTACCCGAGCCAGGTGGGTCGAGAAAGCGATGTGCTGTAGTTGCGGCTGTCGGGGTGGTGGCACGGTACATGTACATTGACTGTGGTGGTGGTGGGGAGGAGAGCGTCGCAAACCGATAGCCTGTAGGTGTACCAGTGGCACTCGCACCCATGCCCCCGATACTTGGCTCAATTGAGGGGCTGCCACTGCGCAGACAGGTTGTCGCCAATGATTGCAGAGACAGCAAGAAGTTCTCAGAGCCCGAGCCGGAGCCGGGAGAAGAGCTTGCGCTGCCTGCACCGGCACTGCTACCCGCTGCTGTTGCCGTCGACGTTGCGCTGCTGCCAATTGCATTCAAGTTTGCACGATTTAATAGTGACCGTCGGACGATTTCGAAGTCGCCGCGTTCTGTTGCTCCCGACTCATTTATAGCAAGCGCAACTAGCTCGGGTTCACGTGCCTCTACCGCGACGGGTTGCTCGTATGTTGTACTGAGGCTAGCGGCTGGCGAGACCTGCCGCAATTGACACAATTTCTGTGTCCAACGTTGGTGTGTACTCTCTGCCGATGATGCGGCAGATCCTCCTGAGCTGCTGTTGCTGTATGGATCGATGTAGAGCGGAGAGGAGTCATGTGCATGTGCGCCACCCATGCTACTGTTGCTAAAGGCATACGGATTCGTTGTTATATTGATCACATGTCCACTTCCTACACCAACACCAACGCCACCACCAACAAAGCTGGCGGCTGCACGCGAGGTTGATGGACGACAGGTAGGCGATTGACGTCCGCCACCGACAGCACCACTACTACTACCACTAATACCATAGGAAGTGCTGGCTAGTAAACTGCTGGCAATATAATTGTGCATGTTGCTGCTACCGACAGCATTGCCCGTGCCGCTGCCGCTACTACTTCCACTCAAAGCGCCAGCATCATTGGCTACGGTAGAGACGCGCATCGCTTGCGGTTGATATTCATCGTCAGCTACGGCGCGTCCTTCGAGTATTAAAGAGGCTAGCCCCAACGTGATCGAGGGCGTTTGTGCGGAAGCTGGTGAGGGGACAGAGCCCGAAATAGTACCAGATGTTGGCGTCGACAACGAGTTTAGCTGACCATTGTTACTTGTACTGTTGTTATTGCCGGTGGTACCGCTAATGGTAGCGGTGGAGGGGGAACTGCTGACTGTGGTTGGTATCATTTTGGCTGATTTGGTTGAACTGGAAGGAAAGGAAAGTAAAAATGAGGTTAGGTGAAGATCATAAAATGCTGTGTTTTCTTCTGTTTAATTTAAGCAGGCGGTTTTGGGCAAAAAATTAGTTAAATAAGTATGTATGTAGGTATTTAATAAATTTAAATTTCTTTATTCACAAAGAAACTAATGTTTTAATGTTTTAAAAGGTAAACCTATGATAAGTTGCCTTCCCAGCTTTGATGAAAGAGTAAAATTTAAAATATGGTCCATAGACTTTAAACTACATAAAATAATCTTTAAACAGCTTAAAGCGCTACGAAAGCTTTTTTGTAGCTTTAAGCTTTGTAAGTATTTCTGCCATGAAAAACAGGTTCTCAATCGCCGTTCGGAGAGTAGGCGTAAAACTCCCGTTTGTGTGTGAGATTTTCTTCCGATTTTCGTGGGATTTTTAACAGAGAATGTCTGGCATCACTGATACATACAGTGGTCGACAAAAATCTACGTACAGTTCTATAAAAATATATTTCATACTACAACAAAAATCATAATATTAAAACTTCTTAGCTTCTCAGGAAAAATAAATTTTTTATATGGAAGAAAATGCACAACACGGCCAGCAAACATTTAACAACACAAATTTTGTTTGAAAAAAAAAAAGAATAAAATACCATTACTAGCCTTCAGACGTAGATTCCATTTGGCTTTATTGGATTTCCTTTACTGAAACTACTTTCACACGTTTATAACTTTTGCCTTTGAATCTACCATAATGTTGTGCTTGGGCGAAGGCCACATACCGACTGAAAATAAAGAGGGGGCTTGGGGTACAGGCCGTTACTGTGAACGGTTTTCGCTTCTTAGAGGATCGCTTTAGACAACTCAATGATGAAAAAGCCCTATCTAGAAACTTTTATTTTAAATTTTAGCGGCACTTGTGGATTTCGGTCGCGCTGTGCGTCAGTAAAATATGGAAATTTCCGTCACGCCAGTTGCAGAGGAGGGTTAAGAGCTATACTTTAATAAAAAATTAATGAACCTTAAAAAAAATCTAAAAGAAAAGTGGTCAGAATTGGTCAAAATTTTGAGGTTCGATAGTTTGTCGCGGGCTGTAAAATGAATTTTGGTAATTTTTCTTTTTCATAGAAAAAGCCCCGTCATCTTCTTAAATTTGGCTGGTTAGCTTTGCTTTATGATGGGCTGAGTGACGACGAGAATGAGTAGAATTTTTGCAAGTGACCTCGCTAATGTTAATTGAAGTGCATAGCTGAGAGGCAAATAGAAAAAATTTACATATGTACATATGTATGTATGTAAGCATGTATGTATGTATGTATAAATGGATGTACACGTGTATAAATATAGTGATTTGATGTTCGTGGATAAACTAGGTCACGGTCCAAATGCACATAATGCACAATCAAAGGCATGCACATATGCATACATACATATGTATATGCAGTAGCATAACTGTACGTATGCATATACATACATACATAAATATAATTGAGCATAGATGTACACATGTGAATTAATGCATATAACGGTATAAAAGCAAAAATCATGGCATAGCAACAGTTGCCTTTGATGCAACGTAGCGGCAGCATGCAGTGGACGCGTGGAAGTCTCAGCAAGGCACGAGCAACTAACTATGTACATATGTATGTACGGGCTGAGAGCATTTTGTCAAGTACAAGGATTTTCTTAATCGGCACACGCGTATGCTTTTGTACATAGAAATGTATATAAAACGTATGTATGTATGTATGTACGAATGCTTGCGCTTATGTACAAGCCCCGCTACCAGCGCTTCCCTTGCGGGTGTTGAGCCTACATAGTATGTAGTCTTGAAAAGTAGAACAGTAGTGCGTCGAGCAGCAGTGAAAGTGTATACTCGTTGTTGTCCTTATCACTTTCACATTTCAATGCGTTGTGTTTCTGTGTATGTATGTAGGTGCATAGCAAACTGTAACGAGGTCGCTACAATAACGGCAACCTCAAATAACAACAACACCAAAATGCAAAAACCCTACAACAACACATACAATGTGACATACAATGCAATTTCCGCAATATGAATGCCTGAACGTGTAACTATTTTAGGGCCGAAGGATACGGATATGGATATGGATGCAACCATGAAGCCATGAAGACACATACATACATACATACTTACATAGGTAGGTGCATAAATAAATAATCATAAACACATACATACATATGTAGTAGGTATTTGAAAGAAAACCAGGCCAACTCAAAAAAAACTTAAATAACGCCGAAAGTAGGTCAGCGCATAATGGATACCGAAGCGTGCCCCTGTTCACTTTTCTTAGGCCATTCTGGTTGGACGTTTGATTGAAATTTATTGTGAGTGCATAATGAACAGCAACGGCGCTTGCAAGTACATATATATGTATGTATGTATGTTTGTAAGCAGTGGGTGCAAAATGTTGATGTGAATTTATATGCTTATTTTAATTTTTCATAGAGATCATCAGATGACAGCATAAAGACTCACCGCATAAAAGCCTCACAGCAACTCTGTGGCGCCTTTAGTTCAATGCGTGGAAAGTGTGTCAATGTGCCGAGCATACATACATAAATTTACAAAATGATCAACTTAAAAATTTTGAAAAATTTTGCTAAAACAGCGAACAAAAATTAATGTATATAATTAAGCAAAACAGAAGCGGATTGGGAAACTTGCTACTTATGAAGATGTTAAGTAATGAATTGTATAAACAACTAATTAAAAAAAACAACAATAGTCGACCTCAATGCTGATTTAAAAAATTTTAAGTACCCCAAGTTCCCATCAGTAGAGAACGCACTCGAGGTGCCTCCTTCCCGATCAAAAAAAGAATTATCGAAAACGGTTCACGTGGTCCAAAGTTATCCGGTAGCATACATATATTCAAAAATATTTCGACGAATTGTAACCTCCTCATAAGAATACAAGACGACAATGATGACGTATTACATTACAAAGTAGTAGCGATATACGGTGCGATAACACTATCGATAACGATAACAAAACGAAAAATTTAACGCTGGTACTTGTAAATTTAATGATAAGTACCAGGATGATCGAGCTTTGCCTGGAGTGCATATACTTTTTAAAGTTTTCAAGATTTGAGTAGCTTTAAAAAAATATTTTGAAAAAAAATTGGATTTCGATATCTATTAAGTAAATTTTTTACTTCAAAATCTAGGTGGCAACCCTATTCCGAAATACGCTGGAATGAATGGTACATATCTTTAGCGTATATATACTGTGTATACATAAAAAATGCAAATTGAAATTAACAAATAACAATTTTTTATTACATAGAAGCGTGCAGCCATGATGGAAGATATTTTCATATCATTTGCAACAAAGTTAAGTTGAAATTACTTGCTAATAAAGAATAATAATTTGAAAAATAAAAATTTTGTACCCCGCATAAGAATATTCGGTATTACCGTACTTTTGTGACCAAAATTCTTGATTTAGACTTGATTTAAGAACGAAATTCTCTATTTTTTTCTGAGTATACTTATTTATTTGTTTTTAATAATTTTCATTTAAAATATACATATGTATGTATGTAGTTCGATCTATTACAGAAGCCTTTGTACAAAATTTATAAAAATGTAGCAAATTTCAAAAAATCATCATCAAAATTTTAATCTTTTAAATCTGAAATTTTAGAAAAAAATTGTTATTGTTCATGCGTTATATGGAAGAAAATTCGCAAAACCCTCGACAAAAAAATTAAAAAAAAATCAAAGGTTATTTTTTTGACTGTAAAATTGTACTAAAATGAAATGTGCTACAAACAAAACTGCATACATACTAAAAATTCTGATTAAAAAGTAGAAAATTTTTATTTTTTTTGAATTTTATTTTTTATTTTTTTTTCATAAGGTTTGTGTATAGTTCTAAACTCTTATTTACATGGCTTCTGTTAAAGAACGAATTAGGTATATTTTAAATTAAAATTATTAAAAATAGCAAAGGCAGATGTCGCGCTACTATTCTGCATGGTCTGTGTTTAAGCCCGGTTCAACCCACCATCAAAATATAAAAAAAAAAACAAAAACAGATTTTTTCTAATAGCGTTCGCTCCTGCCCAGCAGAATTAATATCTGAGTCTTTGTGAGCTCAAGAAAATCTCTCGACCGCCCGCTGTCCACCTTCGGCCAGTAAGAGCGTGCAGTTGCACATGGCTTTGCTTTGATAATCTATCAAGTTTTGAAAAATTTCAGTTTATTTTTATGTTACAAAACCGAGCGCGGAAACAGTTGCAGTTTCAGCAATAAACCATCAAATCTGACCTTCTGCAGACCTGCTACTTCCTTGCTGCTTATATGTACATATGTATATCCATACAGCAATATACTTCATATTTACTCGTAAATTTGTGGCACATTTCAACAGGTCAAGACAGACAGTAAAGTTCTACATAAATTTCGATATTTACATTTTTTTTTGTTGTTGTTGGTGAAATGTGGATGACCTAGTGAACCAGTTGCAAGCAAACGCGAGTTGCACAATTGAAAGTTTAATACGTAAATAGAAGCGAATATACAAAGTTTGCGCATTGTATGCCAGCAAATACATACAAAATTGTCTACATGTGTACATGTGTAAGCTTTTGTATCTATTTGCATAGTATGTATGTCAGTTTTTTTTTTTGGGGGTAGCTGACCCAATTCTCTCAAAGTGAAACCAGGTTGAGTCAAAGCGGAATATTGATTTTTGCAAAATTGCCTGGAATCACGCAGACGGAAATGTTAAGCAGAAAGGAATATAAAAACAAATAGAGCTCACACATGTATGAGTCTTTCTTTCGTCATAAATATGATTCTGAGACCAGTCAACTAGACTGACTCATTTAAGACACTTTTGCTGTCATGAATTCTGAGTTGAACAATAGTAACAAAATTCACATAGAAGTAAAAGTTTATTAATAATTAAAATTATAAAGAATATCATTCAATATAGAGCATCTGCAATTTTCACAGAAACTACTTTGTGATGTTAGA